TAGGTGGGACGGGATAGCACGGACCGACATAGGCCATCAGAGGGTGGACTGGGTAGGTATTGGGTATATGATGGGGGTAATGTGTGGCACATGGGTGGGCAGGTGTATCCCTTATTTCAAGTTTACCGATCATGCTTGTCTGGGGACACAGGCAACTGAAAAGCGGTAGATAAAACCCAGCGACTAATAATTATCATACGGACTGACGTTACCAGGACTGACGGACGCGGCCTGACGTCGCGTGCATGACATCACCGTACGACTGACGGCTCGTGCCCAGTCGGCTGGCCGCCCGTACAGAGGTAATTTCCTAATGGGCCGCGCGCTTATCAGGTAATGCGCACACTGCGCTGCGGACGCTAACGAGCCAGTAAAAACTGGACTCGGACCGAGAGATGCAGGAACTCTGGGAGGGCATTCTGGCGTTGCTTCCGTGTGCTCAGGGCGCTGAAGGCAGACGACGTCAGAAGGCGGGCTATGTTAATCCATCCAATGCATGCATTGTAGTTGTGTCGATGACGTGTTATTTACGTGTTTGTTAGTGTGATAGAACCACTAGCCCTGCGGCAAACAATTTTTTTTTTGTCGGCGATGGAACTGAAGTAGAAGGAAGAGCGACCTCATGGGTAAGAAGTCTGGCTCAGCCACGGATGGGTGTCGAACTATGGATGAGAACGATAGGGCTGACTAAGCGATACTAATATTTTGATTCACTAAATGGAGAAAGTCAATGATTGTCTTCACTAAAATCGTGTAAAAGTCTGACCGAGAGACTCGCGTACCGAACGCTGCACCTTTTCGCTGTGGCCCGCTCCTCACCTAGTCCCCACCGTCTCAGCACAGCCTGAGGGATACTGGCGCTGGCCGGCGGAGGGCATCGATGGCCGACTTCGATGGCCTTCAGAGACCGCCTTATGCAGCGGCCCGGCCAGACAGGCGCGTCTGGCCGCCGCCGCTCAGTCATTCATCCACGCCGACCATCTGAATACCGGCCAATGGCTGTGCATGTTGAGCTTTCGCTTTCATGGGTCGCCGGTTTCACGTCACACGAGACGGCTTCATTCATTCTTCATCCGCCTATAACTCGGGATATTGATACACGCTCAATACAAATACAAACAGAGCAAATGCCCTTTGTAGCCCAGTGTTCAACGTGCTGCTTCAATCTGCAATCGGTTAATATATTCTGTCAGTTGCACTGGCAGGTATTTCAAATGAGCTGGATGATTTCCACTGATCGGCGGCTGCGGTTGTAGTATTGGGAAACTGTCGGCCCCGTATGTGGCCGCGGTGTTGGCCAACACTGACCGGAGGACGGCGTGCCCGCGGTCAGATATGCCCCGGTCGTGTCGCCGGCGCCCGTACCGACCCCCGGCCGACGGACCGCCCCGATGACGTCGGTCCGTGTCAGCGGCGCCTCCCGGTATTCCGCGAGTCAGACGCTGCGGACGTCCTCGGCGGGTTACGCAACCGGCGCTCCCCTGGTGGCCCTGGACCTCACACAGCGCACCGCTCAGCACTTTTGGGTCGGCGAGCTGCTCTTCTGAGCAGCTTCTGGATCACACTTGTTGCCTCAGCATCTCTGGATCACGGATTCCCTCCGGCGCACCTGGATCAGAGCCGAAGCCCCGCTCGTCTCTGTGCCGCATCATCTGCAGCGCCGGTGGCGGCACCCCCGGAGCGGACGGCCTTACAAGGACGCGGCGCCGACCTCGCGGGGTCGCGGACGGTGCGTGAATCACGGGCGGCGCACGGCCGAGCGGCACTCTCCCTCTCACCCGACCGACTCCGGGCGTCTCTGCCGACCGGGCTCCGCTGCCGTCACCCCGGCCAGTCAGCGGCTCTGCGGCACAGCAGCGGGCTCGTGACGGTTTATGGAAACAAAACGGAGCGTGCTGCCCAGACTGGGATGGCCCGCTCGCATGAGGAGAAGCCCGGCTAAGCCGCAGACCGGAGTTCCTGGGAGGCATACACTTAGCGAACCACACCCTGATCTCCGCCTCGTCTCTGTTCCTGTACTTGGTGTTACCGCTACAAAAACCGCCACGATGTAATTTTAGTGCCCTGAGATAGCCAAAGACGATGCATGAAATGACAGCTCGGCAATGGTTCGTCTGCATTGTTCCTGATTGATACCGTTGCACCACCTGTGGCCCGCGTATCACAGAAACCGTATGGGATATCTTTTCTTATGCGGTGTTTTAATCTTGGGTGAGCCCCTGGTCTCTGGTAACTCACCAGGTGGCGGTCAGTTTCAGAGGATGGGCGCAGGTGTAGTCGGACCGCCGGCGCTGACCCTGTGTTGTCGCCGGCGGCGGCCGTGCCGATGTGACCTGAATCTGACGGGCGCGGAGCCTCTGACCGGCGCGGCGGACGGTCCAGTCCGGTGGACCGGCCGGCCGGGGCTGACCTCGGCTCTGGCCAGCGTCCGAGGGAGACGCGACCTCGCCGCGGGAGCAGCGGCGAGGTGCCACCTGGGCACGGCGGAGCAGCGGCCGCCGGAGGACCAACGCTGCCGAGAGGAGGCGGAGGCGAACCGGCCGGCACCGATCACTCCTGGGACCGCGGGAGGTGGCAGGTCCCAACTGAGAGGAGATGAAGAGGTCAGCCAGCTTCCAGGGGAGACAGTCAGCCTCCCGTGGATACGGGAGGACAAATCTTCCTTGAGGGAAGTGTCCCATTGAGACAGGAGGACGGACGTTTCCTGTGGGCGCTGGGGTGTCCTCGGTGAGTTGCCAGTGGACGGGAGGGACGAACTGAGGGACGGGGGGAGGAGTTGGATGATAAGTACCTCTGCCCGGGGGCGACGGGCGGAGGTCGGTCGTCCCCGGGGGTAGCTACCGAGGTTTCTGACAGACACGGTGTCATTAGTCGGGCCAGAGGCACTCCACGACCCCTCCCCCTGGCCCGCCCAGCCGCCCCCGACCGGCCAAACCCAATTACGGGAGTCGATAGACATCTCACACTGCGCCGGTGCCAACTGACCTGAATGTAGCACATTACGCTAACTCACAGAGCGAGCACTTTCAAGGCTTATACTGTTCGTTTGCAGCCGATGAATTAATTAACCCTTTCTGCGATCATTTGAATCGTGCAAAATGTTTCGGTAATGTTCCTTTTTACTCCGCATTTAAAAGCGAAGCACCACGATTATCAAAATGATGGTTTACCACAATCACTCACTCCCTTCTTCTAAACGAACTTGCCCCACAGGCTTAGCTCTATGGTTCCTCAGAGAACGTTTTAACATTTTTCGGAGCAGCCCTTTAATTATTTGGCCATCCAAGCTCCGCAACCGTGCGAGACGAGCAGATAAGCAAACTCGTCTAACCAACTCTCGACATTGAACAAGCACCGGACGGGGTGATTTGTCGAGTCGTTACATTGTAACCAGCCCTGTTACTGCGCTGTTTTCTGCCAGTGTGTCAGTCAGCCCTCCCTCCCCGGCATTGACCAAGCTGCCACGCCGCTGCTGCATACTTTACAGAGCTCAGTCTACAGCCTACCAGTCACGTAACAGACTACGGGTCCTTGCAGCTGATAATTGCCGTGTCATGAGACAGAGTGACGGTGAAATAAATCCACTCCGCCGCCAACGGAAGTAGAGCACAAAACCTCGCAGCGGACAGCAGTGAATTACTGCGTCACACCGATAAATGCAGCGAATACATGTCGCGCACTTTTACTTTTCACCCAATGTCAGATGGTGACCTAGGAGCCGTGATTTTGACCGTTAGTTTTTGTTGCGGTGGATCTGAGGCTGGTGAACATGTTCGGCCATGTGATCTCCGGATCTACCTTTGCTATCTCCTGATGCGATTTTACACGCGAGATATCCCGAAACGTGCTAACATTCGGGAGCGATTAACAATGAGGCTGGCGGAAATGCCAATAGTTTCTTGTTTGCTGATGAACAACTTGATCTTTTACTCCTTGTCATGCCGCTCATTTGTGCTGTAGTTATTTTGCAATTTTTGTGCATTAGCTGTTGCAAAGACATTATTGCTTTTCATTTGTTTGTTTGCTTTATGGCCAATTGAGAAAAAGGTAAAGCTGAAACTACCAAGCCATGTCATCGTCTAGATTATTCTAGCATTACTTACAGCATATCAAACATTAGTTCATAGTCCCAGCAATGATAATGTAGAATGTTTGCATCATAGTCTTACTATAATGACTAGATTGTCGGATATCGAGGTAACCTCCTCTCTAAGAACTACCAGCCCAGATCCACAAGCATCAAGACGTTCTCCTCTGTAACAAATCTCGGCTGAAATCCCAGATGCCAAGGTTTCCTCTGGTCTCCGTCCATAATCCACCTACCACAGGCATGCACTAGTCTGCTCGGGAATAGGTAATCACCTTTGCATGTCCTCGCCACTGCACTGCCGCGGTTCAAGGCAGGATCCGACCCCAGGGGTGCCGCAATGACTGTCACCGGCCACGCTGACCGAGCTGAGGGGTTCTCGGGATGTCATTGGGATGCCGTAGCGGTCACCCAGAAGTGAAGTGTTTAGCGGTTGACGGTGGACGGTTCGATAGGCGTTCTCCGTTCAGAGCTCACAGGGTAGCTCTGTGGCCAGTGGCCACCGTCCACCATCCCGGACTCACAGGGCAGACTCTCTGGTCACCAGCTGAGGGTTGTTCACGGGTCACAGGACGGGGTCCTGTTCAGGGGTCACAGGGGCAGACTCCGAGGGATGACCAGGGATCACAAGGGCAGACTCCGAGGGATGACCAGGGATCACAGAGCCAGACTCCGAGGGTTGACCAGGGGTCATAGAGCCAGACTCCGAGGGTTGACCAGGGATCACAGAGCCAGACTCCGAGGGTTGACCAGGGGATCACAGGGGCAGACTCCGAGGGTTGACTGGGGGCCACAGGGGCAGACTCCGAGGGTTGACCGGGGATCACAGGGGCAGACTCCGAGGGATGACTAGGGGTCACAGGGCAGTGTCCTGTCTAGGGGGTCACAGATGGCAGACCCCGCGGCCACTCACCGGTATATCGGAGGCGCGCGCCGGCAGCGGACACCACTGTGGACACCGACGGACTGAGCGGCGCCGCGGCGCGCCGACCGGCACCCTGTCCGAGGGAGGCAGGGCACCCGGGTCCAGTCCGCGCCGCAGCGGGCGGAGCTACCGCCGCCGGCCGGCAGGGGGCCAACCGGGCACTCCAGACACTCAGAGCTGAGCGTATGTGCTTACTTTTTAATCAAACTGATGAATTAAAAAAATGCAAATGCTCATCTATAAAATATCGAGTTTACGCCGACCTCGCGAGCCGCGCCGTAAAATTTTAAGTTTTTGAAGCATTACCATTTACCTCATCATGCGATTCGCATTTTTGCCAAGCATTTTGAATGCGCATAGTTTTTTAGTTCACTTTCGCTAGATGATATCATTTTCGAGTTTCTCATTTTCCATTAAAAATAGCGGTTTCAATTGCTCGCACTGAGTTCCGGTGAGAGCACCTGCCGCCCGGGCTGGACGGAGCTGCGAGTCCGGGACGGCCGACGGGCGCGGTCGGTCCAGCTACCATGACTCACCACCAATCATCACGTGCGACCACCTGCAGGGGTGGGTGGAACAATGCTGCCGTAATTGATACCCCGACTGCTGCCCGCGCCACTACGCGACCATGGGGAGCTCGGCGATAGACCACTAGTCGTGGGTAATTGCTGCGCTTATCCACCCGGACTTGCCAATGGTCGACGATCCCGTCTGTCACACGTGTTCCGCTCACCATATGCAGCTGCCATTGAAAGGGTATGATACGTCGTCCTACCATCTGTATAGCGGGCGCTCTGTAGGACGGATATAGTGGCGGGCGGGCTGGCATCACAGGGCCCCCACTCTACACAGTGGATGATGTCAAGCGGACCCAAACTGATGCGTTCCATGCAACCGGTGACATTCAGAAGACCACACGTGGTACAAGGCAAGGCCGAAAAGGCATTGTGATACACAGGGCTGCGGAGTCGGAGTCGGAGTCGGAGTCGGAGTCGGTCGGAGTCGACAGTTGTGACCGGAGTCGGAGTCGGAGTCGGAGTCGATTTTAGAAACCCGAGCCGGAGTCGGAGTCGGAGTCACCGAAAATCTGTCGACTCCGCAGCATTGATAGGTCTGCGGAGTCGGAGTCGGGAGTTGGAGTCGGTCGGAGTCGACAATTCTGCCCGGAGTCGGAGTCGGAGTCGGAGCTGGTTTTTGAAAGCCGGAGTCGGAGTCGGAGTCGGAGTCGCCGAAAATCCATCGACTCCGCAGCCCTGGTGATACATTGATGTTGGGGCCGTGATAGCGGCCCAATATAATGGAATCACGCAGCGAAACTGTCCGGCCGCCCTACTTCTATTTGATTAAACCGTGAGCTACCGGTGGCATTGAACGTAGATATGCTTTACATCTTACCACTGTGTGATTGAATGTAGGCCTATATCATTATCTGTGAATTAATATTCATACATTGTAGGCACTGAATTGAGGCAATATTTTGTTGCTCTAATGTCTTTCGAAAGGGATGCAGTTGCTTATTAAAGCAGCATAAATGGAGAAACACGGTTCATCCAAATTTACCGGAATACATCCTATTGGTTTCCAGTGAAACGCCGGCGAATTTCACACCTCCGGGGTTCCGCTCCGCTGGATGCGAGTCGCCGGTTTCTCCGCGAGCCTGCGGTAAATACCTCCATCCGGCTTACAGGCGTTACAGCTGCCCCGGCCGACTGGAGAGTCCCATGTATGGTAAGTGGCACGCAGCCGATACGCTGGACACTGTCCTCTGGGCTGGACGGCTGACACTAGTCATACCCTGAACAGGAATCGATTCAGAGGAATCAATATATCGATTCCTCTGTATTTAAACACTGGACGGAGAGCCAGTGGAAACCAAGGGCCATTTATATTTTCTTCACTGGCAACGGCTTGCAAGAAACTGCGCGTTGATACTAGGAGTTCTAGGACATTAAAAATAAAGCAAAGTTTAAAAATCAGGCAATAGCAGCTTGCTTGTCGTCATATTTCCCCATAGCACGCCAAAAGGCTGGCAATCAATCGAATTAATGCTTGCTAGTCAATGCTTTTGCATAATCAGGATTATCAACAGCAGTATCACAGACTGGTAATGATTCCTAATCCCCTTTACTGGGAAGTTATACATTAGACGCGTTTACATAGGGTTTGTTGCAAGCTTATATCTCCGTCCGTGATGTTGCAAAAGATGCCAATGGTGCTGAACAATTTACAAAATGATCCCCTCTAAATATTTGAAGACCACTGCATCGAAATTATCGCGAAATTAACGAGCTAGAGCCTCGTCAAATATGCTATGTAAACCGGGTTATTGATTACGATTACCTACGATAACCTTCAGTGACCGGATGGTAATGGCTCTCCTTTACCGCCACCCCGCTCCAGCTGATCCCTGTTGTAAGTACGACCTCTGGAAGTGCTTTCCGGCACCTGTTCCAGCCCAGCCCCGAGCCCCCAGTCCAACTCCGAGCCGAGACGGTCGAGTCCTGGCGGGCGGCCAGCCGGTCACGTGACTGGACATCCCATCGGTGCCAGTCTCTCTGTGTGGTGTCACGTGACTCGTCGGCGCCCCATCGGTACCAGTCGCCCTGTGGCCCCGCCAAGGCCGTCGCCGTCGCCGCCGCCGCCTCCGCTGCTGTGTGTGGGCAGATACCGCGAGTCTATTTATCTCGGGCTGAGGCAGAGGTGGCTGGTTAACAGCCGACTACATAATTGTATTTGTATTCAGCATTATTTTGACGACTTCAACTAACAAAAAGAATGAGGTTCCTCTCTCGTTTTTTCTTTCACACCTGAGTCGTGTACCGGAAGTCTCTCCCATTCTGTGACGTCACAGACCCGGTCTCTGGGAAATTGCCGCGTCATTAGCTCACTCGGCCTCTGCGTTACTCACAGCGCTCTCACCGACCGGTGATGGAGGCACGCGTTCGGCGAACTTGTATCGACATGACCTTCCCAGGATCCCGGCGGTGGACGGCGCTCTGAGTCGCCAGCTGACGCCTCGCCCCACCCCCTGCCTCCGGCAGAACGGACGGTCGGATGAAATACATTCGCAGTGCATTCCAATCCATGACGTGATGAACAGACTTAAGAAATCACAGCCGCTCAATGTAACCTTCGACTATAATATCATCGTCTCCTTATTCAAAGACGAGGTCCCATCTTGAGAAGAGTGACGAAATGTCTGTGATAACACGTCTTCATTTCCTGGAAGGTGTCTGTGCGCTGGTTCCGTGAGCGAGCACCGTTGAATTAGTGCTCTTTTTCCGGATTAATGCGAATTACCTAATTCATATTCTGTAAATAAAAGTAATTTTCTCAATGACTCATTTTTTTTTTTTTGATGAACTTAAATTCAAGATATCAGTGAAAATAGGTGAATGTAAAAACCGTATGCAGCTCTTTGACGAATATTTGACCATTCCCTCAAAACAACTGCAACTGCGCGGCTGCCTGCTTTAGGAAATCCACCGGACAGAAACTGCCGATTCACCAATTCACTGCTCACCTTGAGCGTACGATTGATGACTGAGTCGGTGTCGGCTGGACGCCAGGAACTCACTGTCTGTGACCACTCTCCCAGAACCACCGGCAGCTACTTACTGGCCGGAGAGCAGCCGAAATCGTACTGCAGAGTGCAGGTGTCCACACCCCTGCAACAGCTTCGAGCCCGCATAGGTAAAGGCCAGCGTTGAGGGACGACGACAGCCCGTCTGCTCGCTCGCTGAGGAGGGGGACACCAGTTGGCACTTGAGGTGTCGGCTGCACGCCGGGGATGGTTTGTATTCAGACAGAGCGCACCGTTGCGACACTGAGCGGAAGGGTACAGAGTAGACACCCGTCCTCGACGGAGGACCCCGGGACAGACGACAGAGGTTCTCAGAACTCGGCACAGGTGGTGAGGATCCTCATGAGGTCAAAAGAGACGGAGAAGCCACGCTCAGATGCCGGCAGAGACGCCATATGTTCCCAGGTGGTTTTAAAGATGACACAACTCAGGTCCGGAGAGGAGGCATTGAGAGACTGCAGTCGGCAACAAGACGGTAACATTGGATAATTGAGATGGCCTGCTTACGTAAAAAAGATATTTAGAAATCTTGTAATTGTTAAGTTTTATGATAAGATCAACGGACAGTCGCAATTGAATTGTCGCGTCTCTAGACAGGTGTTTTGTTTAGTTAATAAAAAAGTCATTGATCACACCAAAGTGTCGCACCACTTCGTAACGTTTGCAGTTTGTACGGCCCTGTATGTATTTATAGGTGTCATGCTCTCACTGCAGTTAGTATGCGCTGCTGCGGCTGTCGTTATCTCATCATGCCCCAGTGTCAGCGAGAACAAGAGCACCGGAAGTCGGCGAAACTACACCAGTAATTAGGTGCAGACCCGGGAAGATGGCGCACCACATGCTTTCCGCCGCGGTTTGGATGCTCAGATGTGAGCCGTGTCGGGAGCCATGGTTTTAGTATCAGCTCGAGCTGAGCGCTGCTGTGTGCCGGTGGAGCCGGGCGGCCCGGGCGGTGGCCACAGGTGGCGGGGGATCACATACACCGCCCGGCCGGCCGGTCGAGTGGTCGGCTGGGCATCGTAAGACGGCGGCAGGCCTCTGCTGCCAAGGCCGGACCGCCGAGTCGCCGCCGGCCAGCCCCTCCACACCACGTGCTGTTCCGTGCACAGTGCAGAGGAACCGGCAGGCAGCGTGGAGAGAGTGAAGAGGGGCCAGGCAGGGGTGTGCGAGAAGGGAAGGATGGAAAGAATTTGTCCCGGAAAGGGTTGAAAGTACGCTGACGCCTTGTGATAATTGAGCATTGGGATCCTCTATTTTGACTATCTGGCGCTGATAAAGACGGTGTCATATCTGGGAAGTTCAAAGATAGGAGTCCCTCATACTCTTGTCGATGACTCTAGAGGTAAGCCATTCACGCCGAGTACCACCTCAACAACGAACCACGACTGATGACCTCCTTATCAAAGGAACAAAGCCCACACCACTTGAGCAGGTGTTACACAAGTGTCCCATTCAATAAAACACGCAAACGATGACCTACAGTGATGGTC